TAGAAACATTAAATTTGGGGTAACTAATTAGGTCCATTTTTATTTTTACTTATTTTATAGAAAACAACTGATAGAACATTACCCGTGTCAGAACATTACCACATGAAACAGAGTGGTATTGGCACAAGCTTTTTCTTTATATCAGGTCTTGCTTAATCTCCCTCTGTCATTCTTCTCTTGTTCCCTTCATCACGTGAGTTAAGTGTATGCCAGAGATATTGGAGGAGATGCTAGATCTCACGTTCCAGGAGAGACTCAGAATGAATAGTCCATTTCTGGTCAAGTGTGATAAATGCTAAAATAAATGGAATCTCAGGGTACCATGAGAACATGAATAAAACACCCACTTCAGCCTTAGGAAATTGGGAAGGCTTTTCAGAGAAGATACTTTACCACAGCTCTGAGGCTTGGAAGGTGGTCGGCAAAGGAGTAGCGGGATCGGCCTTTAAGGTGGAGGAAACGAGACCTGCATCCTCTGGAAGCTAGTCTCGCGGGGCCCCTGCGCTGTGGGCCTGAGGATTCCAGCAGCTGCCCATCCCGAGACCTACGTGGCTCTTGCAAGTTCTCAGGACGCAGGAGGAAGCAGCGCCCAGACGACAATGTGGGTATCATTACTTGGCAGATGGGGCGTTTGCAATTTTAAGAAACTAATCAACGTGGAGAACTTTAGGCTGCCCTGAGGTGGGGAAGAGAGTATTTATTTACTTACCTACTCTCAGCCTGCTTTAAATATTCAAATATTTAATATTTGCCCTTCAGTATATTGTTGAAGGGCAGATACTACAGTAACCCCTGCTCTCCGCAGTTTGAGAGAATTTGTGCTCAATTTGTGCTCCCGTGCACACCAGCAACGAAGACCCAGTGCAACCAAAAATAAGTTTGATTTTCACAAGCAGTTTAAGGACACTCTTAGTCTTTGTTCTGTGTGTTTATCCTAGTCGCTTGTGCCCCTCCAATGGACTATGTAGTCCATGGGGTCGCAAAGAGCTGGACATGACTGAGCGACTTTCACTTCACTGGGGGTCCAGTGGCTAAGAATCCCCCTGCCAGTGCAGAGGACGTGGGTTTGATCCCGGTTCAGGAAGATCCCACGTGTCGAGAGGCAGTTAGAGCCTGCGTGCTACAACTACTGGAGCCTGTGCTCTGCAACCAGAGGGGCACTGCAGAGAGGCCCACACTCTGAATTTGAGAACGTCCAAGCACCCGGCCGCAGAGACCCCGTGCAGCCGAGCACAGACGAAGCTGTTAAATGAGAATGTGAATTTCTCATTAATGTTTTCATTGATATAAAGCTTTTCAAAGACCTATAGTGAATAATGATTTGGATAAATTTGAGGGAACAGGAAGCTTCTTTTCCACATACAGTCTGTTGTTGGCATTTGTATTGATGATGGAGTTGTTCATAGAATCTGAGTGGGTGGGGATTCCTTAAGAGGGTTTTTAAGTTTTCCTTCAGTGTGTTTCATAAATTTTGCTCTTTTGTTGTACCCCTTGGGGTCTTTTCAGTCTTAGACTTTGTGACTTGTTAGAGAACTGCTGCTCTAAGTGGACAATGATACTGTCAAAGCATCAGGGAGAAGGAATGAAACGGAAGTGGTAGCTATTGGAAGCTAGGGAAGTGGGGTGGAGGTGTGCCGCTGGGTTGTGGAGAGACTTCACACACATCTGTACAGAAAATCCCCGTGTTCTCTTGAAACATCCCACCCTCACCTTCTCCCAGAGTCCACAAGTCTGTTCTATACATCTGAGTCTCTTTTTCTGTTTTGCATATAGGGTTATCGTTACCATCTTTCTAAATTCCATATATATGTGTTAGTATACTGTAATGGTCTTTATCTTTNAAAAAAAAAAAAAAGAAAAGAAAATCCCCGTGTTTCATAGAGGACAAGCATACAGATCTCTAGGCAGTCTTGAAAATTTTCCCAAGACAGTGAGGTTATCGTAACACATTGACTAAATGCTTATATTTTTAAGCATGATAACTATCTATGAAACAGACATTAAGTAATGTCTGTTTCAGAATTTCAGAGTTCTATGATTTTTTGTGTCTTTCAAAAGTTGACTATTAAAATCATGACATAGGGCTTCCCTGGTGGCTCAGACTGTAAAAATATTTCCTGCAATGCAGGAGACCTAGGTTGGGAAGATCCCCCGGAAAAGGAAACAGCAACTCATTCCAGTATTCTTGCCTGGAGAATCTTACGGACATATGGATAGAGGAGCCTGGTGGGCTGTAGTTCATGAGGTCACAAAGAGCAACTTAGACACACAAAATCATGGCATAAACTTTTTTTCTCTCTGTTTGACTGAGAAAGGACTTAAGTTTCAGAGTGTAGAAACTGTTTCAGGTAAAGGTGAGTCATAGTTGTCAACAGTGTCAATCACGACAAATTGTGTAATCATCTGTCTCCCACTTAACTATGTATTAGGAGATCTGTAGTAGCAAATGAGCTCTCATTGCTATTCATCACCATGATAATAAAAGAATTTAGGGAAAGCTATTATTTAAGAGGGAATGATAGATGTAGCATTTCTCTGAAGTTAGTGACATCCCTGCATTTTACGTTTTCTCTTAAGTAGTGCGAACATTTCATTTCTTTTGCTAAGCAGTGTGCTTCCGGGGTATACAGAGCAAACATTTCCCCCCTGGTGTTGTCTTATTGTACACCTCATTTGTTTAATGTTTAATTTTTCATTATTTATTTCCTTCTAGTGTTTCCCATTTGTGCTGTGCTCCTCTCTGTCCCTCCCTCTCAGCCCTCAAAGTACTGGCAGTGACCAGTTCCAGGAAGGCTAGGGCACACCGTTCTCTGGCACTGCATATCTGAAGTCTTCAGAATAAACATTTGTGACTTTCTTCCTCCTTCTGAACTGCCCTTCCCTTTTCATTTTAATCTGTTATAAAAGTGAGGATAGGAATGGAAAGAACAGCCAGGGACAGCTTTTTAAGATATGCAGAGTGCCAGAGGCATGATTCCCATGTTTGCAGAATCAGAAATTGATCAACTTCCCCTGACAAATTTAAATGTACTTGAAAAAACTTCCCTCCAAATCTAGGACAATGACCATGTAATTTATTGTCCCAATGGATAGTTTCAGTGTCTTTGTGTATCTTGTTAGACAAGTGGATATAATAAGTTAATATATGTATCCTAATGTGACACTGTAGAGAAATATTTGCCCATAAATATAAATTAGATGAGGCTTCCCTGGTGACTCAGCAGTAGAGAATCCACCTACGATGTGGGAGCCACAGATGACGTGGTTCAATCCCTGGGTGGAAAAGATCCCCTGGAGAAGGACCCAGCAACCCACTCCAATATTCTTCCCTGGATAACCCCATGGACCGAAGAACCTGGCAGGCTACAGTACATAGGGTCACACAGAGTTGGACACAACTGAAGCAGCTTAACACAGCACATAAATTAGAAGAATATTTATTCTACTTTCATGTTATTTTCCCTGATAGTTCAGTTGGTAAAGAATCCTCCTGCAGTGCAGGAGACCCTGGTTCCATTCCTGGGTTGGGAAGATCTGCTGGAGAAGGGATAGGCTACCCACTCCAATATTCTCAGGCTTCCCTTGTTGCTCAGCTAGTAAAGAATTCTCCTGCAGTGCAAGAGACCTGGGCTCAATCCCTGGGTTGGGAAGATCCCAAGGAGAAGGGAAAGGCTACCCACTCCAGTATTCTGGCCTGGAGAATTCCATGGACTGTGCATGGACTCACCTAGAGCCAGACATCCTGGAATGTGAAGTCAAGTGGGCCCTTAGGAAGCATCACTATGGACAAAGCTAGTGGAGGTGATGGAATTCCAGTTGAGCTATTCCGAATCCTAAAAGATATGCTGTGAAAGTGCTGCACTCAATATGCCAGCAAATTTGGAAAACTCAGCAGTGGCTACAGGACTGGAAAAAGTCTGATTTCATTTCAATCCCAAAGAAGGGCAATGCCAACAAATGCTCAGACTACCGCACAGTTGCACTCACCTCACACACTAGCAAAGTAATGCTCAAAATTCTCCAAGCCAGGCTTCAACAGTATGTGAACCGAGAACTTCCAGCTGTTCAAGCTGGATTTAGAAAAGGCAGAGGAACCAGAAATTGCCAACATCCATTGGATCATAGAAAAAGCAAGAGAGTTCCAGAAAAACATCTACTTCTGCTTTATTGACTATGCCAAAGCCTTTCACTGTGTGGATCACAACAAACTGTGGAAAATTCTGAAAGAGATGGGACTACCAGACCACCTGACCTGCCTCTTGAGAAATTTGTATGCAGGTCAGGAAGCAACAGTTAGAACCAGACACAGAACAACAGACTGGTTCCAAATTGGGAAGGGATTACNTTGGAAGGACTGATGCTGAAGCTTATGTTTTGATACTTTGGCCACCTGATGCGAAGAACTGACTTACTGGACAAGACCCTGATGCTGGGAAAGATTGAAGGCAGGAGGAGAAGGGGACAACAGAGGATTAGATGGTTGGATGGCATCAGCAGCTTGATGGACGTGAGTTTGAGCAAGCTCCGGGAATTGGTGATGGACAGGGAAGCCTGGCGTGCTGCAGTTCGTGGGACGGCAGAGTCAGACACGACTGAGCAGCTGACCTGAGCTGCAGTGAATGAACAGAAGTCAGGGTAGATTCATCCCTTGGATTGCTGAGGGCTCTGTCATATCTTCCTGCTCTCTTCACCAGCCTGTGTTAGATATGATCACTCTTTTATATTTTGTCTATCTGTGAGTTAAACAGAGCCTTTCCCTTCTAATCTCCTTTACAGGTAACGTTTTAATGGAGCATCTCTCTCCCTGTACAGATACGGACTTGGGTTCGTTGCATTGTCCTTTGTGGGTGTATTTATAGCTCTCCTGGCAGCAAGCTGCTTGAAGTGCTGTGGTATCCAGAGAATAGTTAAGCACTTTGAGGGAGATTTGATTGATTTTGTTTCCTTGAGGAAAAAGTTAATGTCTCTGGTTGTTGTTTTTTCCCTTCTCATCTGTCTAGTTGCTGATCATCTGGGCTGTGATCCTCAAACACGGTTCTTTGTCCCTCCTAACATCAAACAGTGGATTGCCTTGCTGCAGAGGGGAAACTGCACCTTTAAAGAGAAAATATCACGGGCTGCTTTCCACAATGCAGTTGCTGTCGTCATCTACAATAATAAATCCAAAGAGGAGCCAGTCACCATGACTCATCCAGGTAAACAAAAAAGGAAGTTGTAGATTTTGTCTTCCCTCTGACACATCATTGCTTTATAGGAAGACATTCTACCTCTTGCTGAAACCATATCATTTCCAACCTAATTCTAGGATTATATTTTTCTTTGGTATTGCCATTTGTTTGCTGATATGCATTTTTTTTTCTTTTAGTTGAACTTTTTCTTACATAACAACAGTAAAACACTGTGAAACTTGCACTTATTAAGGAACTGACTGTGACTGAATCCTTAGTCATTTTACATTTCACTGATAACTTTGAAAAATAATATCTTAGATTTAGAATCATTCATCCAAATTATGTCATGCCTTTTATCAAAATGAATATTGAAACTAACTTAATAATTACTTTAATTACAGTAGTAACCATATTTCTTCATTTTTGTGGAAACACAGGATATTTCTAATGTACTTGTTTTAATAACAATGATGCAATTTATTGAGCACTGTTATATATATGGCAGGCACTGTATGGCAGTGAGTTTTTTGGTTTTTATTAGACTTTATTTTTTAAAGCAATTTTAGGTTCCCAGCAGAATCTGGACATTTTTCAGACTGGCTTTTTTCACTTAGTTGTATGCATTTAGGTTTCCTCCAATGTCTTTTCATGACTTGATAGCTCGTTATTTTTGAGTGCTGAATATGCCAATGTCTGGATGTTCCACAGTTTATTTATCAAGTCACTTACTGAAGGATATCTTGGTCGCTTCCATGTTTGAGCAGTTATGAGTGAAGCCACCGTAAACATACATGTGCAGGTTTTCGTGTGGACAGAAGTTTTCAGTTCCCTTGGGTAAATACTAAGGAGCCCGATTGCTGAGTTGTACAGTCAGAGGATGGTGGCTGTACCACTTTATAGATTTCCAGCAGCAGTGAAGGAAAGTTCCTGTTCCTCCACATCCTCACCAGCGTTTAGTGCTGTCAGTTTTTGTTTTTTTCTTTTTGGTCACTGTAATAGGTTGTTTTAATTTGTATTTCTCTGATGACATGATGTAGAGGAGTCCCTTTTTTATATATTTTCTTAGACAGTCCTCATCATGACCATGTATGTTATAGGTACCCTCCCACTTACAGACCAAGAGATTGAAGCAAGCAAGGGCCAGCAGAAGAGAGGCTTAGACACAGGTTTTTTGGTGTTTACCTTTCAGTTTACCAANCATCATGACCATGTATGTTATAGGTACCCTCCCACTTACAGACCAAGAGATTGAAGCAAGCAAGGGCCAGCAGAAGAGAGGCTTAGACACAGGTTGTTTGGTGTTTACCTTTCAGTTTACCAGTCTGTCTCTTACAACTAGTTGAAACCTAGATAAACTTTTAATTCTGCATTTATAAGAAATGTTAAAGATCAATGACTTATTTAAAGAATTAACTCTTTAGTCATATAATTAATATTTGCATTTTATCAGTTTTAGACAGTTGTCTTGCAAAGACCTCACCCTAACTTAAGATCATTGATACTTTTGTGTATCTTGATAGAATAATGCAGATTAATTTAAATTTTATTGCTCTGACTTGTTTTCTTCCCTTCAAATTAAGCATTTTAGAATTAAAATATATGTTTTTTCTTTGTCCAAAAGTAATTTGTGCTCATTGTGGAAAAACTGAAACTTTTAAAGGAAAGTATAAATAAAATAGAATGTGCGATTTTCACTACCAGAGATCACTAACACAGCATTGTAAATCAGTTATCCTCCAAAAAGAAAAAAAAAAAGACTGGTTTTTCTGCCTAGGTCTCAGAGCAGATGCCAGTTTGCTCTCATCAGCTGTAATAGAGGGAAGAAAAAACTATTCAAAATTTTGGACCTAATCGTTCCTTGCTATTTTCTTCTAACTGAAAACACAAAGAAAAATGGATAGAGAGAAATTCAACTGAGCAGAATGTATTTTTCTTTTTCTGTGATGTTATTTTACATACACAAAACCACTAGAGAAGTAGTGAGGATGAGAGTCTTTTAAGTATGTAAAGATCTGGGGATTATAAGAGAGGGACTCAAGTTTGGTTTTTTTTTCCCCCCAATGAGTTTTGTTTAAAAAAGGAGAGGATTCTTTCTAAATTAACATGAATTTTCCATCTGTGTTCCTTGAAATGTTAAGAGTATCCAGAAATGTTCCATAGATGACCCATGGAGGAAAAAAGGTAAATGATGCAATAAGTTTTAGAAAATGCTTGAAAGATATTCCAATTTTAGAAGCTCCTAATAAACATACTGAAGTCTCTGAGAAGTCTTAAAGACTTGTTTTAATTGATTAACCTGCAGTTTCCCAAATTTATTTGACCATGTAACTCTTTTATTACATTTTAGCTGAAGACACAAATAAGGAAAATTAGGGATAGAGTTCGAGGATATTTTCTTAAGATATATAAGAGGCAATTTTGTAAGGCAAATGTAATATAAGAGCAATAAGAAGTGGCTTTATATTGCAAAACATGGCTTTACGATACACAGAAAATTAGAAAGAAGAATGTGAGACAGTAAGTTGATAACAATACTTCAGAGAGAAATTTAGTACCGTCTGATACCATTAAAGATCTCAAACATTGTGGTCCAGTAATGTCATATCTAGATAGATGCTCTGGAATACTCTTCAGATTTTGATGTACATGTGTATCCTCTGGGAATCTTGTTAAAATGGAGATTTTGATTCAGTAGGTGTGGAGTATAACCTGAGATTCTGTATTTTTAATAAATTTATATGTGATACTAACACCACTGGTCCACAGATCTTGCTTTGAGAAATAGGTAAAGATAAGAAAGCCAGGTTTCCGTCTCAGATTTTTCACGGACTTCCTCCCTGTGATGTAGGCCACGTTGCCTCCTGTGCAGGAAGACCTCTTTGGTCTCTCCGTCTTTCCCTGGAAGGCGATGAACCGCTGCCGTGGAGGACAGCAACGTAAACAGCCTCTGTGCCCCGAGAGCCGCTTGTCTTCCTGGCTCGTTAGTGTGCTTCTCTCCCTTCACAGAGCCCTTTCTTCCGGTTTCTGTGTAGGGTTCAAGGACCCTTCTGGCAGAGTAACTAGATACCCCCTGTATCTGTACCTGCAGAGATACTGTAATATGCCTGTAGTTCCACATCTCAAGGGGGAGATGCATGTTTTAGCCCTCCCCTGCTCACATGTCAATTCTACTATCCACCCTTCATTTGAGAGAAAGCACCTTTGTGCTGTGCATTGTAATATGAACTGGTAAGAGTTGATAAAAAGACCTTTGGGTCACACCCTCAGTGAGTTGATTATCTGAGGCCCCTTCAGTCTTCATAGCATCTCTGGATGGTACTGTCCTTTTGCTTTTTGTTGTCATCATTTGTATGCTTGATTGGCAGTAGAGAGAAGACTGCAGGTTTCTTTAAGTTAAAGTTTGTGTCTTTTTATTTTCTGCAATGGTTAGCAAAATATCTTGAACAAAATAAGTATGTGCTGCTTTGAAATGATTTCATGAAGATATTTAGCTTTGTTAAGCTTTCTTTTCATTTAAGGATATATTTTATAACTAATTTTAAAATTTCACATTGTTAAGCATTTCATTTCCTTGCCTTGTCGACAGTGTTTCAGGAGCTTATTCCTGTCTGTTCTAATGAGCGCCCTTCATCTGGTGGCTGAAGGGCGTATTTTCTGGCACAGTGTCCATGACATCATTGACAGGAAAGACCGCTCAACTTGTGGTTTTATTTGTTGCCTCTACTTGGCAGAATAAGTTCTTTGTAATGTAGTTAACAAATATGTGGTAGTATAAAGGGGAAGTTATGGGCACTTGCATAGTTTAAAATAATGCACATTCGTATAAAAGTTAAGGATTTATTTTCCTGTCTTTTAAAAATTAATATAGACTTTATTGCTTAACAGTCATAAATTGTGTCAAATTGCTGTCAAATCAGAGAGCTCTTTTATAGTTTTATTTGTATGTCTGTAAGAATCTGTGAGCATTTTTCATTGCTAATAGGAAGATGAGGTAATTTAGGTAAATATTTAACCAAGTAATTTACTTTTCTATCTTTATGTCAATTAGCAGTATCGAATGCTTCTTAGTGTTCCTCTAACTGGTTGAATAGAATCAGTCAAATAGCTCTTCACCTTTTCTGCATCATATTCTCTTTTTAGAAAAAGGTATATAGCTCTATATTATCTAGCAATGAATGGAAATATAGAATATTGCTCTAGAATATAGAATATTCTCTCTGTGAATAGGAAAAAAATTACACCTTATGAAAACAAGTAAAGATAAATCACAAATACATTGTAAAATATCTTTAAATATCCATAATTTGGGCCACTTAATGTATATCTATTCTTTTATTCTAAAAGCCCATCAAGAAAATAAATAATAGTCACACTGTTGCTTTAACTGTTTAGTTTTTAGGTTGTAATTGAATATGAATTTAATTACTTCAGAAAAGATTGAGTTTGTATTTTAAATATACTACTATAGCAGAAAATAGACTCTAAATTGTGTCTGTGGCCTGAGTGTGCAAATATCTCTTCTGTGTCTTCCGTATGATCCATACACTGTTTTCAGAAATTCATAATTATCACGAAAAATCTGAAACTGTAATATATAGGCAGTAGCTTTTGAAAAAGAACAACTTTTAAAAACTGCTGATGATTCTGGGTTTTTTTTTTTTTTTCTTCATCTGTTTTTATTAGTTGGAGGCTAATTACTTTACAGTATTGTAGTGGGTTTTGTCATACATTGACATGAATCAGCCATGGAGTTACATGTGTTGCCCATCCAGATCCCCCCTCCCACCTCCCTCTCTACCCGATCCCTCTGGGTCTTCCCAGTGCACCAGGCCCGAGCACTTGTCTCATGCATCCAACCTGGGCTGGTGATCTGTTTCACCCTAGATAATATACATGTTTCGATGCTGTTCTCTTGAAACATCCCACCCTCGCCTTCTCCCACAGAGTCCACAAGTCTGTTCTATACATCTGAGTCTCTTTTTCTGTTTTGCATATAGGGTTATCGTTACCATCTTTCTAAATTC